CCTCCCATTCTACTTTTAAATACTCTAGGAACAACAAGTAGGCCTGCAGAGCAAGAGCGAAGTGCTCTACTAGGGTAATATGGTACTAAAAAAAGATTTGTCTAGATAATGTGAAGATCTAAAAGGGCATGTGATGTTTTCATGCAACGGTTGTGGGTCAGACTCTGAGGCTTCATTGTCCAGTAGACAAGAATCATACTTTCTAAAAACATCTCCAGGAATTTAATTTGTAGTCAAAGCTTTCCTCAAATCAAATGTTTCTATTTTCCCTTTAGCTTGTAGCATTTTTCATCCTTCTAGACTATTTTGGTCGGGGTTAGCCAGTTTTGAAGATGATGGCTTCTCTTGAATATAAACTAAATGGCACGCCAGTCCAGATGAAAGCTATGTAAATTTAATTTTGGGCTGAACTGTCCTTTTTAAGTTACTGGCATGCATAACTGCCGGTGTAAAAGCACAAAGCAGTTTCCAGTGTTGTTTAATTTAATATACAATTCAGCTGCAGTCACCAAGATTTATTAGACCTATATAATTTTAATTATATACTTAGACCTGTATGATATCCAAAATAATACATGCATTGTTCTCACTTTAACTAAGAATAAATATAATGACTTTAACTATTAATTAAAGCTTATTACCAGGAACTTATTGTAAACCTCTTTGTCTAAATGTCAATACTCAATATATTTATGTACTGTACGTGATTTGTGCTTGAAAATATCCACAAATGCTGTTTGCAAAACTTAAAATTAATGCATGCACTAAAAGCTTTACACATAAAACAGAAGGTAAGCAAATTTGTTTAAGAAATAGAATCATAGGCTCATTATGACTTCCTCAAAAAACCCATGAAGTAAATTTAACATCTGCGTCCTGACCGTGCAAGTTTCATTATGTTATTAGTTGTGATTGCAAGATTAGTGTTGTGTTGTCTGTTAGTGTGTCTCTTGTGTTGCTGTTTGTTTGCCATGATCAGTCTCACATGGTCTGGGATCTTAAATAAATTCCAGTCAAACAACCGCACCCCAGTCACAACTCAGACTCAGTGGGCTCCGACAAGGGAGGGGACCAATCACGACGGAGCGCAGCAAATTGGATGGAAATTGCATGAATTTTGTCAACAAACCAAGGGGTTTGTTTTTTTTTCTCTCATTAAGAAACAGCGTGTGTGTGTGAGTGGCTTTTTCTGTATAAAACAGGTATTTCAGATTCTCCTCATTTTTGAAAATCATTTCCGGTCTTAGAGCTTATTACTTCCTTTTTAAGATGTTAAAGCTGCAAAAGTGTTTGGAACAGCCAAAGTTTCAGACACAGGAAAAGGTCAAAAGCAAATATATTCAGTTGATTTCCAACATGTCTATCCTTTTTTTGCCAGAGTAACAACTGAAAAGGTCAGAAATCCAAACTGCTGAGGATTTTGTAAACCGTGCCAACACAAACAGACCAAAAAACCACCTCAAAAGGCCCTCTGTTGAAGCTGATTTTGAAGCAGATGAAAAACATTCTGACATTTTGCTTCTCGTTCTGTAAATGTTTAATTTTTTCTTTCTACGTTGCAAAAACATGCATTTTATTGTAAGAAATAAACTACAAAACCAACGTAAGGGCGGACACATCACGACCCCTTACTGCCCCTTAACTCCACAGAGTTTACGCCGTCGTTTAGCTGAGAGTTGGTCACCTCTTGACATTTTTAAGCGTCATCTGTATCTTCTCACCTTGCAGGTCCTGAATGTTCCAGAAACTTCACGGCTCCCAGTGGAGTCATCAAGACACCGGGCTTCCCTGAGAAGTATCCCAACAACCTGGAATGTACCTTTATGATCTTTGCCCCCAAGATGACAGAGATCGTGGTGGAGTTTGATAGCTTCGACATGGAGCCTGACACCACGCCGCCACCGGGCGCCCTCTGCCGATACGACTGGCTGGAGATCTGGGACGGCTTCCCTGCAGGTGAGCGGAGGGCTGGGGTGCAACGGGCAAATGTTAGTTGAAATCTTAAAGGTTAAAACATGACTGAAAAGTAATTTAAAACTGAACTAGTGCAGAGATGAAGAGAAGAGAGAGGATGATGCTTACAGCTTCAAAATAGTAATCATAAAAAAGCATTTTCTTAACTAGTCAGAAATTGTAAATGCATATATATATATAATGATTACCTGATAAATAATTTCTAAAGAGCATAAAGGATTTTTAATGTTTTATGAATTTCCAAACACTCTTTTTACGCATTCATACACTTAACTTAAATGCCAGAAAAATGGTCTTGTTTATGAATTAAAACATGCAAAATAATCTGAAAAAGATTTTTTTAAATTTACTGATTAATGTGAAAAGATGAAAGTAAAAAAAAAAAAAGCAGGGCTGTTTCTCCGCAGATGTGAAGCAAAGTTACAAAAAAAGGGGCGCAGATGTAGAAGGAGGAGAGGGAATTGGGAGGAAAAGGGACGGAGAAGTGAAGGAAGAATATAGAGAGTTGTGAAGCAGAGGAGAGGAGGATGAAAAAGGTTTGAGACAGCTTCCCCCTGTGGATGCTGACAGAAAACAGACAGAAAACAGGCAGAGACATGCGGGTGTGAAGGGGAGGAGGACCGTGGAAAACAAGTATGGATGCCTTCCCTGCTGGTGAGATGAGTCGGGATTGAGTGACAGAGGTGAAAAATAGGTGGATAATTGCAAAAGCGAGATGCGGGATGAGCAGGGGGAGCAAGAACAGCAGACAGGGATACATCCAGGATATGCAGAGTGCACGTGTGTGTGTGTTTTTCTTGATTGGCTCATTTAAAAACATATTTTTTATTAAAACCTCATTGGCCTTAACATTTAATTTCCAGTTTGTGTAGAAACACTAATTCTCACTTAGCAAAATCCGAGAATTGTCTGCAGTAGATTTTCTCATCACTTCAAAACAAAACAAGTTTCACTCGCCCACGAAAAGTCTTCAAAGTCACCGAGAAGTTGCTGAGTGTTAAGCCTGAGCTTAAATATGTTTAAAATGAAACCCCTCATACTCGTTGTTTTGCTGTTGCAGTTTGGTGAATCACTCTCTGTGACCTCATGCTCCCCAGCAACAAAACACATGTTGCAATGCTTCAGTACACTACAAATTATCTTCATATGAAGTACGTGTCCGAGCTTGTTCTCCTGCTTTGCACATCCCAAGTCCGGTCAGGATGATGATTATGCATTAAAGGAATAGTTTGATGAATAAAATTATTAAATAAGATCAATCTGGAGTGGTAGATAGCTCTTTTTCTTTCAGGGCTTCTATGTATGAGTGTCATTAAACCTCAAAGGGAGGTGTATCCAGGTGTCATAGACATGCAGAAATATGAGGAACATGCAGAAGGTGACGCTTATTTGCATCTTTTGCACTGAAAGTGAATGATGCAGAGACTCCCACACATTGTTCCTTTCACATTTGTAAAATCAGCTCAGGCACAACCTGCTCTACCCTTTATTCGCGCTGCTCCCCTCGCTTTGGACAGCATTTCTCAGCTTCTATTGTTGTCTAATTAGCCGTGCAGCGTGCATATAATCGTGAGAGCTACATACCTCGGACAGGCCTGTGCCGGCTGCCAGGATGCCCACAATACTTGCTGCTGTGCCCAAAGCTTTGCCTGATTATTGCCAAGGAGGAGACTGGCATGAGGACGTGAGGGACACAAAGACTGGCACAGGTATACAGGCAGTGACATGCACTTTTAAGCGGTGCCAGTATACATAACATGCCAGGGCTTTTCCTGTCAAATGATCTGTGCGTACATTCGTGTGTTCAGGTGTGTCTGTTTGCATGAATGCATGCGGGTGTGTGTGTGTGTGTGAGACTATCTGTGGGTGATGTTAAAGCCGAGCCGACAACAAAGCGTCTCTGCAGCAGGGTTGAGACCGGCGTGTAGCTCTAGATCCCAACAAACGTTCATGCGCACATCAAAGGTTCTCATTAGCCACGTTTTTTTCGTCTTTGAGGGCTGTAAATCAGTTCTTCAAAAAGAAGCTCTTTCTTCTGACTGGGCTTAATTAGAAAAACATTCAATGGTCTTTTGTTTGTTTTTTTGTTTTCCTATTTTATTCTTCAGAAAAGATTCTTTACAGGAGATTTTTCACATATTATCTCACCAGAACAATGCAACCATTACCAAGTAAATATCTCGATCAAAGCTTTTCATCTTTTGGATGAAAAATTCCTACTTTCTTAGTTTTGCCAAAGCTTTAAGCACATTTCATGGCTTTCATTAGTTCCTGAGGTTTGTCCCGATTGTTTTAGAAAGGCTACAAGATGTGCCTCTTTGAAAACCTATAAAAAACTATGATGCAGTTTATCCATTTTATGATTCTAATGCACTGCCTGCAGTTAGTGCTTACAGGGGAATTTGATTTATACGAGCCACATGTGATGTGTGGTGCAGGGAATAGAAACTTTAATACGTGGGCGCAGAGATCAGTCTACCAGCCTTATGATTAGTAGACCACCAGCTGTACCTCCTGAGCCAGCTGTCAGAGCTTTACATGTGCAGATTTATGTTAGATTGTTTAATTTCTTGTATTAGTTGACAAATTCTTGAGAAGATTGGTGGCTGAATACCAAAACACACAATTTGAGATTCAAATTATTCATTATTTTATAAACTTATTATTTTGGGGTTACTTCAGTTTGTCGGAGAGCCCAGATCACATAAAAAACCTAGAGAAACTTTGAACTAAATATTATAAAGTTGTAAAAAGCTCTATTTATTTTGGTGGCTTGGATTCTCAAACTTTACAAACTGATAGCTTAATGTCAAGAGTGCTGAAATGTAATTTTCTTCCTCGCCGTTTGCTTCAGATATAACCATTTCCTTAGATGTATATGGAGCCATATCGCCTGCAGGAGTTTCTGATTGCATCAACTGACAGCCTTGCAGAAAAACCATTTTCACAACACCTCCGATAAGGCTGAAGTAGTTTTAAAATGTAATCCGTCACAGATTGTCGACTACCCGCTTCAAACTGTAACTGATAAACATAAACCATCAGAGTAGCGCAGCTCAGCATTCCTGCTGTGACCGCCTCGTGTTTCTGTTTAGCTGGTTTGCCTTTAAAAGCTGAAGGAAGTTGTTAGAGAAGTATAATTTTTGTAACATATAAAACTGAATCTTGCTCCGTGGGTCTCTGGGAGATCGCTGGCGCAGTATCTCCTCTAAGCAGCAGGCGAGACTCACATTGTTTCTCACAGATAAGAAGAGGATGAAACGGGGGACCACCTGTGGATGTGGAACTCAAAGTCTTCAGACACGAGACAGTCTGTGACTGTGTGCTGCGCATAAAAACACATGATGTTACAGCGGGCGTTCCTGTGATGCTCTCATGTTTTATCTTTAACTGTGAGCGTCTCCTTTACTGAAAGAGGAATCCCCGAGTATGCTGGTTCTGCCTGTTGCCCAAGTAAAAACAATAGTTTTCAATGGTTTTCAGGAGCTTTAACCTTCTCAGGTCTGAATTGTTGTCACTTAAGACCCCAAACCCACCTTAACTGTAACTACTCAATCAGAATATATCATGTTTGTTATTATTAAATTCTTCTTCTATGTCTTTGTAGTCAGGGAATAAAGAAAATGGTCATTCTAACTGGAACCCCGCCCCCTTCCCCCCAAAAAAGAAGAAAGTATTCACATTTTTTCCCTAAAAATAAAAATGTATAATATATTTATTTTCTGGTGACCAACTATGATGACACAAACCTAACAGGGTTAAACAAAATTACACCACTTTGCATTATTGAATTATTCTATTCAAAGCAAAAAATAAAGAACTGCCAGGTAATATTCAGAGTATGTTTTTTTTGAAAGAAGGAAGTTATAATTTAA